ACGTATAGTACTACACACACACACACACACACACACACACACACACACACACACACACACACACACACACACACACACACACACACACACACACACACACACACACACACACACACACACACCCAGAAGCAAGCCACAACATCCATCAACATTATGTTTTTCAAGCAAATGCAGCTCAAAATGACTTGGAGCAAAACATAAGAGAAGTACAATAATCAAAAACTTGCTGTGCTGCTACACTGAACGCAAAGTACAGAGCGCACGATTTAAATGCAAGTCTCAGAAAAGATTATATTATATAAATTATTGTTCTCTGGCTTATTTACTGTGAGGTATTTAAAAACACACGCAAATTAAAAGCACGTCTTAAGAGTGAAAAACGCGGAAAGGAGAGTGAACAGGCGTGTTAGCGGCAGACAGGGAGAGACAAATAATTACACATGGCGTTCTCCAAGAAGAGGAAAGTGGACAGTGAGAACAGAGCTTTTAACCCCGAGTGGACTCATTCATGTTCATCCTGTCCACTGGGGTCACAGAACCAGTGTGTCTCATTTGTTCAGAGACCGTGGCGCTCATTAAAAGTGCCACAACGCCGCTATGAGACAAAACAGTGTTTGACCAAACATTCCCTCTCAAGTCAGAACTGAGGTCACACAAAATAAGCAGCCTCAGAGTCAGAGCCCAATATGATCAGTCCACCAGGGTCAAAATTAAAAACTAAATGTTGTTCCAGGCTAACCAATGAGCACCTGCATATATCTGAATAGTTCAATGTTAATTGACAATAAATATTGTTGTTTTTGAATTGTACTTTCTTTATTTGATTGGCAGTCAGTTGTTGATTACATGCAGACGTTGATAAAGCTACAGGCTACTTCAATACATATCACACTAATTCATAAAGCGAGTTAGACTTTTTGATGTTCCGGACCTTTGCACGGGGACATGTTCTCTAACTGGACCTCATTGAATTTGAGTTGAATACCTCTGATCTAGTGTGTTCTATAGGTTATTGTGCATGTAAATGGTCTGCAAAGGTTCCCTCCATAAAGAGTTGCTCTCAATTGTAATTGTTTACTTCCATTACATAGTGACATCACTGTGTGACAGTCGCGGTACAATTGGCCTAAGCTCTAACACATTGTACTCGATAGGATAAGGGGCGGGAGATCTCTAAGCGGCTGACCGATCACAACAGAGCCGGCCAGCTAACCAATCAGAGCAGACTGGGCTCTGGTTTTCAGACAGAGGGTGAACAAAGGTAGAACGAGACCTTTTTGAACATTGTCAACTTGTCACAGTAGAGCCACTAAATACTAATATCAACCTGAAAATGAGCAGACTAGGGCCCCTTTAATCTGTAGACCTCTACATGTAATGCTGCTTTGGTAAACTGCTGTTCTTATGGAAACAACATGAAGCCATGGACACTATATTTATTCTGTGGTCATTCTAACTTAGGCCTCATCACCACCAGAAATGAGCTCATCAGTGCAACACTGACTGGTAAGCAAACAGGGCTTACTTTCCCCGATAAGGGTATATGTTTTATTATCAGAAGTTATTCAGATTTGATGGTAATTGTACCCCTCTGCAGGATTATGTCGTTTTTTTTACATCCCTTCTTACATGTAACTGCTTTTAAGGGTTTTTATGAATCTAAGAGAATTCATGTTAGAGTGTGGTAGAAGTGTTGTTCCGGATTTAGTGCAAACACACATGTTTACAGTCAACATACAAATACTACGACAACAAAGGGTGTTAAGGGAACAATGTTTCTACCTTGTTAGGCGCAGTGGCTGAGGGCGCTCCCCGAACTTCCTGCAAAGACACAAAGAGAGAAGAAACATGAGTGTGCTGGTTATCAACCACAAACACACACACACACACACAGTAAACACAGCATTACCCAATGGTGCACACACACACACACACACACTTGTCACTGTGGCCTTGTCAGTGCTCGAATAAAAAGACGTGTCTGCAGGCAGGCAGGTTAAAGCAGGTGTTCAGACAGTGAGAAAACTCCTGCCACTGGCACGTTAAAACAGGTTGAGCATCAACTCGGAAAGCTCCTCGTGTTTCATGTGCAAAAGTGGAATAACCCGCAATTCCTCGAGGTCTATGAAACCGTACGATAAAGGCGTGGGAGCCAACACGTATCTTGGTTATTGAGGTTTTTATAACCTTCAGCTTTAGAAGTCTATGGATGATAAAGACCTCATTTTTGACCATAAGCTGATAATAAATACAATAGAAAATATAACAAACCGATAACAACAGCGCCAGCTTTCAGGCTTTATGTGCTGCTGATCTGAATTGTAAAAATGCATCCGACTTGATCATTTCCCGCCGCCGCTTCCAGTTCAATGGTTTCAGATTTCCCTTAGTCTGAGGCAACCTGCAGCATTTTGAGAAGTAGACACCTTCGGGGAGCACCAGGGTAAATATTTCAGTATTCTATGTACGACATACTGCTTTAAAAATGGGTGGGACAAATCTCTCTTTTTACACGGCGAGTGGTTGATTTACATTTGAATGCAAATACACAGCAATGGGTGCCAAAATATAAAACATTGTATAATGTGAGAAACAGATGAGATTGGTCGAATATTAATATATAAAACACTGCCCGGAACAATTGGTTCGTTTTCTAAATGATTCTGTCCATGGTGTACAGCTTGGACATGACATACAGGAAACTGACCATCTTTCCGCTTATTGAAATCCACCTGTTTGACAGTCAAAGTGTTTGTAATACCCAGACACAAAGAAAAACAAAGAGCGGATTGTTGTCATGTCAATTCAAAAGTATGAGAATGACTCGCACAAAAAAGCTCTTTTTGAGTCTTCAACTCTCAATTCTGGATCTTCATGACATTACCGTCAATAAGTCATTCATTTCCACTCTAATGACAGCACCACTAACCTTCACTCACTATAAAGACTATTCCTTCAAGTGCAGTCGACCATGCCGATGCATCAGACCCAATTTTTTTTTTACCGTGATTGAGTCATAGCAAAAACTCTTAGTCATAGATTACATGTAGGAAACCGCTGCCAACACCGCATTTAGAGACAAAGGGCCGTGAACTTGCACAGAAAAGGACAGCTGAGTTCTCGTCAACTTGTGACTCGTACAACCTGTTTCAAGAGTAGGGTCTTAAAAACACAGGAAACGCAAGACTTTTTTTTCTTTTAAAATGTCTCATAATTGATTCGTCAACAGGGTTCATCTCTTGGAAATACAGTACCTAGACCATACATCTGCTTTTTTAAACTGCTGCTTTTAACTTAGGTTGACTTTCTCATCGAAAAGGGTTCAAACCTCTACACACTTGACTATTTGTTCATTCAGCAACAAGGTCAGTTTGCTTTACTGTAAGTTATGATTCAATTCAGTGAAACCAAAATATGACTATATTCCATTATTGGTACAAAGTGAAGTAAGTACCAGAAATGCTGCTACGTTTTTTATTTATTAGTGACACACAGACTTGAGAAAAATATTATTAGGGCAGCAATTACAGCAATATCATTTTCATCCCAATGAAATCAATGACTATCACCACATTTAACGAGCCAAAAACAGCTTTTGTTGGCATTTTTCTTTCCATTTCGATCGATAAATCTTTGCAGCTGTAAATCCGACCCTGTCAAGCACTCATTAGAATCCTTCTAGACGTGTATCGCTTGAGCTAGATAAAAACACACTGGGGTGAAAGTCCTCCCCACAGCGATCAATCAGCCTCTCGCTGCAGCAAAAACAAAGTATAGGAGGAGGAGGAGTGCGTTTCGCTGCAGATATGTGACCATGCTCGCTATCACAGACGACACATTCTTCAGCCTCACTGTCATGTTCCTGAAGTGCACAAAGCTAAGTATTCAACACTGGAAATATTTGCTTTCATGTTACCGACCGACTATATGCAAATGTTTGAATTGTCTTCACTGTAAAGGCAATGCACCATCGGAATAGGTTTTCAATCTTTATTAGGTAAAACAATCAGCATCCACACTCTAACCCCTACATTTCTAACGCTCCGATACCTACCACCTGCCTATATTACGGCACTATAGAGTGGAGCAGGAATGAGTCCTAAACCCGGGCATGAGTTAGCATTTTAGCACTTTCTTAAATATAATGTTTTGTTTTTAATTGAGTTGAAGAGTTGATGCCTAAACTAAGGTCTGTGGTTAATACAAGCTTAAGAATAGTTTTCATTTTACAACATAAAATACATAAGCAAATACTCCACTGGCGACATTTGAATCTACTAAACGTCATGACGCCCAACTTTAGCCGCCGTTAGCTTAGTGAGTTGCAAGTCATGCGACCATCATGTGGTTCATTTAAAAATGTACTTGTAATAATGGTTGCATTTACAACTATCATAAAAGTGGTTTTAAGATGTGGGGATTATCGTGCTGAACAAAACGGGGAAAGTATCACCGAATATGTTTTGCAATAGTCCCAGAATCCAAGGGGAACTCCCATTCCTGTTCGTCGAGGAAGCCCCTAAGATACCAACTTGTTACCTACGTCATCACTGCGCCACCATAACATGCATATTATAGCAGATGGGTGCCACAAAAAGGGATGTGCAGCACGTGGTGATGACTTTAAAAGAGGTGTGTGTGTGTGTGTGTGTGTGTGTGTGTGTGTGTGTGTGTGTGTGTGTGTGTGTGTGTGTGTGTGTGTGTGTGTGTGTGTGTGTGTGTGTGTGTGTGTGTGTAAAACAGACAAAGTGTAAGTGAGTCAGATTTTCTCCTCGTGTAGGATGTGGGAGCCGCTGATAAGTATGTCAATACATCTTACACGACATCGATAAACACACACTGGGGCTGGTTAGATGTTGTGGCACGCAGGCACTGGGTGAATTTGAAAAAAGACAAACAGGGGGATGAAAATAGCACCAAAGAAAAGGCAAAGAGGAGATAAAGGGCAGAGAAACTCAAAGCGTGATTGGTGCAAGAGGCAGAAGGAGGGAGGGGAGGTGGAGTAACCAGAAAGGAGGGCAATCAATAAGGTTCCCACAGTGAAACTAGGATGCCTCAACTGGCTAATGGATTCCAGACGGATCTTTTCCCTCCCCTATACGCTCCTCTTCTAAGCCTCACTCCCCCACCACTGCACACAGGGAGGAAAGGATACTGCGGGGAAAGATTCAAGGAAAGTAGAAGTGGATGGTGTGTTGTCGAGAGGGACACACGGAAAACATATATAGATACATTCAGTCGCGATTTTTAAACGATTATAAAAAATCAAAAATCAAACGAAAAGCCATTAAGATCTAAATGTATGGTTGATGTGATTTTTGTGCGTTTATGTGTATTTACAGATAGAAATCAACGTCCCTAATCTCAACTGCTTTATATTGTGGACAGTGACGCGTGTTTCAATGTGAAGACGTGATGTCTTAAAGGTGAAGGTGGTCAGGAGTGTTGCAAGTTCTGTGAAAAACCACTGTTTCGCATCACCTCCAAGGCTCTTCGCTTTACTCAAAACACCAACACGAAAGAACCAAAAAGCACCGGAAACCACAAAAGGTAGAGTCGCAAAGACACACAACAAAAGACTGTTGCATCTGCAGGTTGGGCTTTGCTCTGTGAAAGGGCTTGGCAAAGTTCAGTACAGATTCTTTCATTACAGTAAAGACCATCGTTCAATATCAAAAATGACTCAAAGTCTGAAAGCCAAAACAAAAAGGCAAGAAACTCCAAACCACCTCTTTGTTGCATTCCTCTGTTATATCTATTTTAACGTTTATTTCTAATGCTTTTCAGCACATTCTCTGCAAAAGTGCAACACAAGGAGAAGACTAATAAGGGTGGCTCGTCTTTCTTCTTTGCACATGGTGCATGCAACAGTTTGACACCAACACAGACACTCAGAGCAGGCCGGGGGTCAATGGAGGAAAAGGAAGTTCGGTAAGGAGGGTTTCTCGTCTGATTCGCTCTCCATCTCTTACTCTCCTTTCTTTCCCTTCCTTCCTTCCTTCTCCTCACCTCCTGCTAACTATCACTGCTTCCATGGGAGAGAAACACTGCAACCAAGCAGCAGTGGTAGGAGGTCTGGCAACAGGATATGATTCACTGCGATGAGATTTAAACAGCAAAAGGGAATTCAAAAATTAAAAAAAGTTCACATTAAGTTTCATTTATCAGTTTCAATAGGCGGAGTGAAAGACTCTCCAGAGGAACGAAACTACGCACACTCTGTATTAAAGAAGAACCATTTTTTTTTTTTTTAGGGGCTTTTCTTTTTTATAGTGCCTCTAAAAATAAACAACCATAATATAAAACAACTGGAAACTCTAGTTCAGATGCTTATGATATGAAATGTATGAAATGTTGAAACTTAACTAACCAAAAACAATATGAGGAAGCAGAAAAGCTCATTAGGTCCTTTTAACAAAACCACCAACACACATTGAGGGTTTGTTTGAGTGTAACCCACTCAAGCATTCACACTGTCACTTCCCCATTCCCCCTCCTCATCTTCAAAAAGTAACATTAAGATGCATTTAAATGAATATTTGTCAACAAGGAACTTCCTTTTTTGAAATGCATAAGCCCAAATATGACACGACTACATTATAAGTAAATACATCTATGCCTATATTACTGTCTACAACTAATGCAAGTGGTGCTAACAGCATAAGCATTTTGTTCAAGTAACAAGAACCTTCTTTAGCATGTATCTACATGTTTTAATAGGGCAGCACAATTCAACTAAATCTTATTGAAAACTGAAAAACAAGATATGGCAATATTCAAATTGCAGGAATGTTTGAAACTGGCAAATTATGTGTAAATAT